AATGGTGATAGAATTGACAATTTGGATTCAACACACACAAAAATATATAGATATGACTTACACACATTCACATGCTAGATGGGTGGACTTTATTAAAGATATACCCTAAAAGGCATTTGTGATTTGTTATATAGTTTAATGACATTAGCCAATAATGTTACAAGGGTGGTAAAATACTGATGGGCAAAGGGAATAAAACCATGCTGTGTCAAGTCTAGGTCACCCTTCTTGCAAGAATGCTAACTAATAAATTGAAAATTACTGCTTCACTTGTTTTGTCCTGATTAATTTGATTTGGTACTTTAGGACTTAGAAAACTGCAACTTACAAATGGCAAACCCCTTCTGAAGAAACTTGCTTAGGTTCACCTTAGGGTTGCCCTAAGTTGGAAATTACTTGAAGGCACACTATACACAAATATACCCAGCGGCCCCTAAACACTAACTGATGTCAGAGAGCTCTGGTGCCACATTAAACTACAGTTCCCATGATTCTCTAGCACTGAGCCAAGGCAGTTAAAGTGGTCTTAAACTGGATTATTTCTGGCAGTATGTTCAGGCCCTAAAAGAAAACATCAGAGTTTGAATGTCATGAGATAAACAATGAGAGGAGGCTGGCACTGATCTTTATAGATCTTGAAAAAGCCTTTGACAATGTCCATTGGGACACAATGTGGGAAATTATGGAAAGAATGGAAATAGGCAAAACCTTTCTGAACTGGGTAAAAGCAATTTATACAAGCAAAGAGCAAGAATAATCATAAATGGGGAAAAACTAATTATATAAATATACAAAAGGGCACACGTCAGGGTTGCCCTCCATCCCCTCTCCTATTATTGTGTTAGAAATTTTGCTTAGACATACGGTATAAGATCAAATCAGAATATAAAAGGTGTAAAGATTAAAGGAGACGAATTCAAATCAAGAGCTTACGCAGATGATCTGGTCATCTCACTAAGCGACTCCTTGAATGATGCAAAAGGATAACAGAATTGGAAAACTTTGAAAAGATATCAGGTCTAAAAACAAATAAAAATAAAACAAAAATCATCACTAAAAATATGAATCAAGAGGAAAGCAGAACCTAAGTTATAACACAGATATTTTGTGGAGTAAGAAAGTTAAATATTTACCGTAGGTGTGGTGCTAACAAATAAAAACTCTGATTTATTTGTAAATAACTATAAACACACATGGCAACAAATTAAAGAAAATCTACAGAGATGGAGAGAGTTAAAAATCTTATTGCTAGGCAGAATAGCCACCATAAAAATATGTATTCTTCTCAAAATGCTATTTCTTTTTCAAACACTGCAAATGATAAGAAATAATGTGGTCTTTAAAGAATGGCAAGAAGAAATAAATGTGTTCATCTGGAATAAAAAGAGACCCAGGATAAGACTCAAATATCTGCAAGACATAAAAGAAAGAGGCAGTCATTCTCCACCAGATTTAAGAATCTATTTTGATGTATGCAGCTTAATGTGAATCAAAGATTGGTTAACCCTTAAAAAATAGGAAATTATTAAAATGAGAAAGATCGAATATAAGATATGGTTGACATGCATACCTGTTTTATAATAAAAGTAAAATCAATAGAGATTTCACAAATCACTTGATAAGAAACACATTATTAGAAACGTGGGAAAAGTAGAAAAAGACATATATGCACTAAAATACCTATATGGGCTTCTCCCATGAGGCATTGTTTAGATCAGACTCATGGGGGGATGAAAATGGTTAACTTATAAAGATATATTGTCCAAGCAAAACAGTAACTTCAAATTAAAATCAGCCAAGGAATTGAAGAAAGAAGGAAAAAATCACAAATTGGTTTAAATATATGCAACTAAGGGGTTTATCACACAGGGGGAAACTGGGTGATTAACCCGTCAAAATCACGCAACTAAGATTAAAACGTGATTAAAATGCGATTAACACAAGAGCCATTATCCTGTGGATAACCAGGGAATAACCAGGCAATAAACAGCAAAAACTCATTCACAGGAAAATTCTGTGAATGAGTTGTTGCTGTTTCTTACTTGGCTATTCACGGGATAATGGCACTTTAATGACGTTTCACCTTGACGTTGTGTGAAAACCATGAGCACAATTGCATGATTATAACGGGTTATTCCTGGGATAATAGCGCTTTGAACACAGCGTTGTGAGAAAACCATGAGCGCAATTGCATGATTATAATGGGTTATTCCTGGGATAATAGCGCTTTGAACACAGCGTTGTGAGAAAACCATGAGCGCAATTGCATGATTATAACGGGTTATTCCTGGGATAATAGCGCTTTGAACACAGCGTTGTGAGAAAACCATGAGCGCAACTGCATGATTATAACGGGTTATTCCTGGGATAATAGCGCTTTGAACACAGCGTTGTGAGAAAACCATGAGCGCAATTGCGGGATTATGACAGGTTTAATCACCGTTTATACTTCTAATTATCCCCCGTGTGATAAACTCCTAAGAGATAGATTCTGTAAGACCATTCGGGAGGAGGGAATTGAACAAACAAATTCAGAACTTGTGGCTATATTAGGCTCTGACAAAAAGGCACTAATATCCAGTTTATACAAGTATCTATTAAAACTGTATATGGAAGACGAAAATATAAAAGAAAATATGACAAAATGGGTGCAAAACTTTGGGTACAATTTAGAGTTAGAACAATGGGGAAAAACCTGGGGGGAAAGGTTAAAATATACAAGATGCCAGGACTTAAAGGAAAACTACTATAAAATATTGTATAGATGGTATCTCACAGCAGACAGGATCTATAAAATATATTGTAACTCTCAGAATAACTGCTGGAAATGTCAAAAAGAAAAAGGGACTCTATTTCATATCTGGTGGACCTGTAAAAAAGCAAAGAACTTCTGGAATCTTATAAGACAATCAATTAATAAGATAAATCTAAAAATGAGACCAGAAATCTTTTCACTCAATATGATAGATGAATAAAAAGAGAAAAAATGTGGTCGAATTATTTTTATATGATTGTTGCTGCCAGAATGGTCTTTGTTAGATACTGGAAAAACAAAAACAAAAAAAAATATCAGAATTAGAAGAGTGGGAACTTAATATATGAGATAATAGATATGGACAAAATGACTAGACAGCTACAAGAGGAAGAAGTAAATAAATATTATAAAGACTGAGAAATGGTAATAATATATTTATCCCAAAGATGGGAGGAAGTAACAACTTTAAAATTCAATAGAAAACAATGTTGAGTAAATGGATCTAGCAATCCATAACATGTGTTAGTAAATACAAGGTTAATATAGTTGTAGTAAGTGGTAAATGATGCAAAGAAGGATGAAATTGCATGTTATAACATAATACTGTACATCACAGGAATGTAAGACCTGTTCATAATCAGGTCAGAAGAAACAGAGCGACAGTAATAACCAGAGCCGAGAAGGGGAAAAAAGGAAGTCTTGCTGGGAAACACGTTAAACAAAGAAGAGGGAAGCACTTCAAAGCTGGTAATAAAAGTGTAGCTGTTTTAAATTTAAACTCAGTAAATTAGCATGAAGATGTAAGTTTAGTCAACATTTAGAATTAGTCAGATTTGTTTCCTATATATGTCAATATGGTTTTTTAAAGTTCTTTTTCCAATGTTTGTTTGCATTTGTCTGGTTGGTTCTTGTTTTTCCATGTATTTACTTTTCCAATATATATATGTGTGTACATGCATACAACTCAGTACAAAAGCCAGAATCATACAAGCCAC